TCATGCTATCTCATCTTGTTCCTAGTGTAAATGAGGCTTACTAGGCTTTAGACTCCTCTTCTAACCTAAACATATAGCCTTAATCCCTCCTTACCCTTCCTTGTCCCTGATCCAAAACACACTCTCTCTCTCTCCTCTCTCTCTCTCTCTCTCTCTCTCTCTCTCTTTCACATCAAGCTCTGCAAGGAGCAGATATTCATTAAAAGCAAGAGATTATTCCATTTGTGTGGCAAGCAACAGGTGGGATTAAGTTGATAACATCTGTTTGTGGTTGTCTGTGTTATTTTAGGTCAGTAGGGGTCAGAAAGGGAAAATTTTTTGATAAGATAAATTCTGCTTTTCCTTCCCATTCCCCAATTCATTTTGGATGTACAGTTTCAATAAAGGGAGACGGCCTTTGTTCAAGAATACAGTTATCAGAGAAATATGAAGGAATAAGTTCTCAGAACAGTTTGGGTCCTGCACTTAACATCACTATAGGGAAATGAAAATCAAATCACAAAGAAACATCACTTCTGGTTAGGATAGTTATTTTAAACAACAAATGAAAATCCACCCAAAACAAATGAAAATACAAAGAACATTAAAAGTATTGGCAAAGCTGTAGAAGATTTAAATCCTATGTCATCTAGTGAGAATGTAAAATACAGCAATTATGGTGGTTCCTCAAAAAATTAAAAATAGAACAGCTGTTGAATCCAGCCATCCACTCTTGCACGTCTCAGAAGAACTGAAGGCAGGGTCTCTAACAGAGTTTTTTTATACACTCATGTTAGTAACAGCAGTATTCACAATAATCAATGGGGGAACACCATCCAGTATTCATCAGTGGATGAATGGTTAAATAAAAAGTAGAATAGTTTTATTCTACACATGTACTAGAACATTATTCAGCTCCAAAAGGCAAAGAAATTTTAACACATACCACAAAACAAATGAAACTTGAGAACATTATGTTAAGTGAAATAAGCCAGCCGCACAAGGCAAACACCATATTATTTCTCTATAAAGTACCCACAGTAGTCAAATTCACAGGGACAGAGAGAAGAGCTAGCTTCTGATCTGGGATTATGGTTTGAATTTCCCTCCAAAGCTCATGCTGAAATGTAATTACTTTTAAGAGGCAACTGTGCTATGTGGACACCACCCTCAGTATGTGCCTTTCCCATCTTAAGTGCTGTACCATGGATAGATCATTTGCAGTTTTAACAGTAAAACTAATGCAAATTTTCTTTTCCTTTTCCCACAATTTCACAGACAGAATACTTGTTCTTGCAGTGGTCAGTCTCAGCATCTACATTTTTTTCTTCCTTATTAAATCTAGAACTTTTATCTTTTCATTTAAAGGAAGTACCTTCTAGCAACTTATTTGTATGCCTGAATCACTACTTTATTTTTACACCTTGAGGTTATTATTGAGTGAAATGATAATAAAGTGTGGTTAAATTTGAACCCCTGTGAATTGAGCAAGAATTGTGATACCCCAAGAGTCTATTTGGTACTCCAAACGGTTACTAAGTGATTGGGAAAACTGCATCTCCAGTGTGTGGATACACTGGACATAAGGATGCCTCCTGTTGCAGGTAGGGTAGAGCAGGATGGCTCAAGATTTCATGGTGCTACTCAGGAGCTTATGAAGTTATAATTTATAAATGGTTTACTCCATCAATTTCCACTTAATGCTTTCAGAATACAGTTGACTGAGTATAATTGCAATCATAGAGAGTGAAACCTCAGATGAAGAGGAAAAACTGTCAAAGCAATTTTGAGATGCTACAGCTGCTCTGGATCATAAATATGTCAATGTCACACACAGACCTATGTTAGATATTTTTAGAATGTGACTGTCAATGTGTATTTTTTTCAAATTTGATGTGTAATGTTTCATATACATTAATAACTAAATGTTTGTATATAGATGGCAGAGAGAGTAAATGATTGTTAATTTGTAGAATTAATTTAGGTGCAATGCACACCTAGAAGAGACCTGATTGACTTTTATTCTATCTCAATCTAAGTATCTCAGTTTGATTTAAGGTGTATATTGGTCTCTTTCCCTAAAGTTACCGTCCTCCCTTTTCCACATACTCAAAATTATACCCTGCTTTTCGGGTCCAGCTAATGACACATTCAAAACATTTCCTGGTCATCCTGGCTCTTACCCATCTCCCTAACCTCCAAACTCCACCTCATCATTTTGTGATTAGTGATTGACTGCCTTCTGTTATTTAGTAGCATTTTATGTTTTAGAACTAACTAAAATATACTGAAAATTTGACAATTACTCCAACTCAAAAGGGCAGTCCCAGAATCAATCAATCAATCAATCTATCTATCTATCTATCTATCTATCTATCTATCTATCTATCTATCTATCATCTATCTATCATCTATCTATCTATCATCTAT